ACGTCCCTCCTGAAGTGTGGCGCCCAGAACTGGATGCAGTACTCCAGCTGTGGCATGACCAGTGCCACATAGAGGGGGAGAATCACCTCCTTGGATCTGCTTGAGATGCATCTGTGGATGCATGACAAGGTGCGGTTGGCCTTCCTGACTGCATCCCCACACTGCCGGCCCATGTTCATCTTGGTATCAATGATGACTCCAAGATCCTTTTCTGCCTCTGTGCTGACGAGAAGAGAGTTCCCCAGCCTGTAGGTATGGTGCTGGCTCTTCCTCCCCAGGTGCAGCACCTTGCACTTGTCAGTGTTGAATCCCATCCTATTCTCATCCACCCACCCCTGTAACCTGTCTAGGTCCGACTGTAGCTTATTCCTTCCTTCTAGCATGCCCACATCCCCCCACATCTTAGTGTCATCAGCAAATTTGAACAGGGTTCTTTTTACCCCCTCGTCCAAGTCACTGATGAAGATGTTGAACAGTGTGGGCCCGAGGACCGAGCACTGGAGGACCCCCTGCCCACATCCCTCCAGGTCGAAAATGACCCATCCACCACCACTCCAGCCAGTTGGCAACCCATTTGACTGTGGCCCTCCAGCCAGTTGGCAACCCATTTGACTGCGTAAATTTATCTGTGAATTTTTCTGTATGGTACAAAGAAGATTTATTACTTTAAACAAAGTTGCTTTCAGAAATGCAGCTCATCAGTAAGGAGTCAGGTTATAGTTCTGAGTTTGCTTGGCACTAGATGAGATTAAAGTATTATCCGATAGCATAGTCAAGGGCATTTGCAGCTGGAGAGCTGATTGTGGCTATTTCATATTGATTTGTTCAGTTCTGTTCTTTTGATGCCTGCTATCTAAGAATTGATTTTCTGCCCTAGATGAAGAAACTGAGAATTTGTACCTTGTGGATTTCACTCAGAAGATCATAGACAATCAGAGAGAGGTACAGGATCTATGTAGGAGTGAAGCTTCTAGAAAGACATCAGAAAAGAAGGAAGATGAAGAAGAAACACTACCTGAAATGGAAATACCAGCTCCACAGGACCCCAGTGAAGAATGGTTGGTAATATACAATGGGCAGAACCATTGAAACAAGTCTGTTTTTTATTTCTAAGCAATCTCTTGGGGAGGTAATCTGTTTTACATTTGTTTTGGCTGATATAACATATTTATGAATGGTGACATCCTTTCACCACAAGAAGCATTCTTTTACATTGATTTTTCTATGTTGTAGGAAGGACACCATATGGGATATCTTATTTCCATATAGTTTAATCTGTTGGGTTTTGAATATCTGTAAACTTGCAGTTCAGTTTTACTTAACTGCTGTTTTAATCTCCTTTCTTTTATCAAAACTGAGCAAGATGCTACTGTTTGCACTGAATTCCTCAAATCCATATGTTTTCTGTGGCATATAAAATAATGCAATTGTTACTGATTCTTAAGGAGTTCAGATGAAGTCTTCCATTACACAGATCAGATTATATCAGCTGGGCCTTTTCCTAAGTCAGAGTTAAATTTTAAAAGCCAGAGATGGAATGTTTGTATATCAGTCCTATTTTGTAGGTCAGTTGCCAAAGCAGCTATTTGAAAACCCAGTAGCTTTCTTGGATTCTTGTTTTATCTCTGTTCAGATCACTTGAATAGATGAAATGATAAAGTAGGTAACCCACCAGTTATTCCTTTTAAATTCAGTTATCAATAAGAGAGAAGAATGGCACAGAATAGAATGCATGATTTATTTGCCTTCCAGTACATTCCTGTAGTGTCTCTGAAGCTCTCACTAGGATTGATTTGTTCAATGCAGCTAGACTTACGAATTTTTTGAGTTATAATGTGTATAGAAGGCTAAGCTGTAACAGAATCAATCGTTATCACCTAGTACTTAAGATCATTCTGATTTTAAACATAGCCTTTTTAGACTGAAAAATGAAAAATCTTACCTCTTCCAAAAAATTACCCAGCATTTTGTTTTTCAAATTGCCAATAAATTTCCTTCCTCAACTAGGTTTTCTAAACTGATAACACATGATAAGAGTTTGAGTCAGTTCATATAACTTTGATATATTTTGTTCGGGGAAATATGCTATAAAATAATAATTGTGTTAAAGAGGTCCACTTCTTATTTTTCTGGTGAATTTAGGGCAGTCCTAAATGTGATTATTGATAGAGACTATATATGCAGTATATCTTTCATGTAAATGTAACTTAATAAGATTTTTTTTTTCAACACCCTCTTTATTCTTTGAAATAGCTATTTTTTACTGATGACATGGAGCTGTCTAAAACAGCAATAGGTTTGGTTATGTGGCACTACTCTTTGTATAGATTTTCTTCAGTTGTAGGACAAATATGGTTTCCAACCCTCCCTTACATTTTAAGTTCTAGAATTTCAAGCTAACCATATTGCTAACACTTCTGTAGCTAAGTTTCAGGCAGATGATAATCTCCTGCTAAAGATACTGGAAATAATTATGAAGCCTATCTCTGGATAAGTCCTGTCCATTCACAAAGAAAAGTGTTTATGGAGTTGGAGGTTTTATTATCAGGAATTGACTTAAAACAGCAATAACCAGTTTGCAAAAATGGCATCAAGTTTTGTAACTTACTGGGTTAAGATAGGGAATGTCCTCCAACCTCTCTAACCATGTGGTGCCGGGGGTGGGGGAGGTGGAGCTAACAGAGGGCAAAGAACTAAAAAAGCTGTAAAATACCATGCAAAAATCCAGAACTCTTGGTTCAGAGATGATACTTTTTATTAGACCAACTGGGAGAATTGCAAAAAAATTACCTTTTCCTGCAAGCTAATAATAAGATTTTTTTGTTGTTGTTGTAATTCTCCCAGTTGGTCTAATAAAAGGTATCTCTGAACCAAGAGTTCTGGATTTTTGCATTTTTTTCTTGTCTCAGACCAACACAGCTACCAAATGCATCTGTAAAATACCATGTAAGTCAGAAATGAAACCATCAAGCTACTTTGTGCTCTGATCGTATTTAATTTTCAGAAACATGAGCCAACGTATTCCACTTTCTGTATTCTTTTTCAACGTTCTTCTGTACCACCTCAATAAAAGGAGGAGGACAGATCTAATTACTGTCTTTATAAACATTTTGGAGTAGGAATTGCCTCTCTTCTAATTTCGTACAGTATCCAGCACAATGGCATCCCCATCTTCAAAAGGCCTTAGACACTGCCATATTTACTGTTCTCTAACCATGATAAATAGTGGGTCTGGCTGAAATTTTTTTCTTTTGCTATCATTGTTTGTTAGTCACGTTGCTATGCAGAATAGAGGATGTTTTGTTTTTTCCCATGCTTCTGGACTTTGCTGGTTATGGCATGGCATTGGGAAGGATTTTTTCCCCTCCTAGTGCTACAGGAGTCAGGGATGTGTATTGGCTTCCTCAAGATGCACTGGATGTTGAGTGCAGCCAGCATGGTCCTCTTCCTCGGATCGCTCCAGTGTATTTTAACAAAGTACTTCTGTCCTTGAAGCAGCAGGACATTGGCAGTGCCCTCTTCTTCCTGTTTACCTGTGGCAGGTTAGGGTATTAGCGCTTAGGGGGATTGTGCATGGGAGCTGTGCAAGAGAATTGTTCGTGTAGTTTTAAGAAGAAGGTAGGCATATGTTTGCATAGGACAATTTAGATGGGCATGATCCCTGAGCAGATCCTGAGACCCCTACTAACTAACCCAGGTTTCCTGTGATCCTATGAAGGCACAAGTGTTTCAAAGTTAGCCTTAGGGATCATGTTGCATTCTGGATCAGCAGTACTTTGTCAACTGTGACTTGAATTTTCAAAACTCGGATGATTGGAACACTTTTTCCACTAATGCTGCCAAGTTCTTTAGCATCAATAACTACTTCTGTTTATCTGAGTCTATAAATGGAGCATTCACTATGATAAAGAGCTTTTGCGTAAAGCCATCTCTTTCAGTGTTTCAAAGGAGCATTTTGCTATCATTTTACACAGCCTTTTTTCAACTGAGATAAAAATCACTTGAAATCCTTAGTAAATGAGCCTTAGACTGATAATTGAAATATACTGTAGCAATTTAAATTTGTCAGAAGTCAATGTTGCATCATTATTTTCTCCACGGGAAGCAAATACTGTGTTCATAATTTTATTTTGACTTGGAGCTATGTGATATTGTAACTTTTTAAAGAGTTTTTAAACTATTTTGTGTCTGAGACAGGCGACAGGCTGAGCATGAGATGGAGTACAGTATATAAATACAATAAATCTGTCATGGCCCCTCTTAAAAATGCATACTTTTATTCTGTTTCTATCGACTGTTATGCTGGAGGTAAACATAAAACACTGAGAGGATGAATATTCTTGGGAAAGTACTAAACTTTTTATCTACTGGATAAGAGTTCTATAAATCTCAGAATATAAAACTCTATTCATAAAATTCTTTTCCCTTTAATTTCAGGGTTGATTATGTGGATTCCTTAGGCCGATCTAGACGCTGTATGAAGAAGGATTTGCCAGATCTGCTTAAAATGGATAAAGAACTTCAGGGGAAAAGGTGTGGCTTTAATGGAAATATTTTCTCCTACAGTATTTTACAAACTGCTTTTTCCCTGAGAAAAAAAGACTGTTACTTTATTACCCTTGTGTAAATCGAAAATTCCTCAAAGTCACAAAAATCTCTGCATTTATATTGATAACAGTAGAATTTGATCCTGTTCATGTTTAAAACGGTGTGCATTATTGTTGGTTTATGATTAAACTGTTATAATCTTTTTATGCAGTTTTGGGGGAAAGGTAGCTCATTTTATCAAAACTTTCCATTTGAAACACGGGCAGTAATCCAAAGTTTGTTTTATTTTGCTCCAGCAATTGATCCTTTAAGAGATAGGCATGTGCATGCAGTGTTGTCTTGTTTTTAAATTGCAGCATTGGCTCCTGTATTTTACCATAAAAACAAACGTCTAAAAAAATAAGTTAGTGACCTGACAGATACTTGATTTATTTTTCAACTGTGGTCCTTTCTGTGATGAAATTTAATTTATTGAACTCTGAACAATCCCT